CCCCCCAAGATGGCAGCATGGAGCAGCTGCTCCAACTCTCCATTGCAAAGGGAGTGTCCTGGACTGAGATGATCAGTTCCTGAGCACAGGCATTTCCTCTGGTGGAGCATCCTCCAGCAATGCCCTGTCTACCCAGTGGTTGTGTTGCAACAATTCGTCACCTCTTTTAACAACTGCTCTGTCGGACACAGCCTGGTGGCTTCCAAGCACGTCTGGTAGGAGGAAGCAGCTAATGAAAGGGGGCAGTTCCAATAACAGGGATGTCATGGGTAACCAGCAGCAACAGGAAGGTTTGCAGCATGTGGCCAGGGATCTGAGAATGGGATAATCCTAAGGGGGAAATGGGATTGGTTTCCAGTGGGGCTAAAGCAGGGGTGAGGGAAGGGGTCTCCACCGGCTGGATTCGTTCCGCCAAGCAGATCGATCCAGCCTAGGAAGGTCCTGCCGCTCCCCCACCCTCAGGCCAATCAGGGCCTAGGGACAGGGGAGCGCGCAGCACTGTGTCAGCCCTGGCGGTTGACTCTAAGCACCGCGCGCCAGAGGGCAGGGAGCAAGAGACTTAGAAGGGAGCGGTTCCCTTGCAGTACAAGGGCAGGGTGGGAGGAGACTTTGTGTGTTTCCCCCTGCTCCTGATTGACCTGGGGGTGGGGAGAGCATGTGAAGTCTCCGCCCACCCTGCAAGGGGCTGGGCACTTAGTCAGCTGCCAGCTGCTGCTCAGCTGGTGGGTGACTCTTAAGTGTGGCGCTTCCTTGCAGGGCATGGGCAGACTTCGTGTTCTCCCTCTCCTCTCCCGCCACCTCCAGCCCCTGATTAACCTGGGGGCAAGGAGGGGGAGCATGCAAAGTCTCCTCTCACTGCCAGGGATGCAGGTGCCTAGAAGGAACTGCCAGTTTTTCAGAACAGCTGGCAGCTCTCTCAGGGAAGGGCAGAGGCTAAGACTCCACATGCTCCCCCACTTCAGACCAATCAGGGGCTGTGGGCGGGGAAGCACAGCAGTGTCTTGGCCCTGCCCCTTCTTCCTGAAGTCATGCGCCTTCTGAGGCAGCCTGTGGCCACTTCAAAAATTTCTAAAGTGTCCTCCTGCCCCCGGTCAAAAATACCCACCCTCGGTTAGGGGGGAGAGGATTTGAAAGGCATCAAGGCATCCATTGGGCAAATTTGGGGCATGTGTGTCACAAACTGAACTCTGCACTATGGTATCAGGATAAGTGATCTAAGTGAGGGGCTTGCTTGGCTTCCTACTCTTGGCAGTATAGTCTAATGCATTATGGTGTCGTGATCTATAAAGAGATGGGAGAATTCAAAGGTCCAGGTTGGATTTAAAGTGACTCTACATTTGAATAGGATCGATACTGTATTTGACCTATCTTCTCATGCGCCAAGTCCTGTGAAGTTAATCCTGAAGTTTGAGTGTTTCTCATCTGTCATCCAAAAAGAGAGAACACACTATTTAAAGTAAAGTGTAAAAATCCCAGTGCCTGTTCTCCCCCAATAACAGATTGCATTTCTCTGAGCCTGAGAAGTGAAACCCAACAGGTCATTTTACAAACCCCTGTAGATGGTAGTTGTGTTTCTAGCAATGCAGGGGGAGTGCTTTAGAAATACAGTGGTCACTTCACAGTATCACAACCATTCTATGCACACTGGTTTTGCAACCTCAACTTCCCCTACTAGCTCCTTGCTAATCCAAACTTGGCCTTGCGGCCTATAAGACCGAAGTGTCCTTTAGTTTTCTGATACGGTTCTCAAAGCGCAGTCTGTGAACCACTAGTGGTCTGTGGCTGCTTTGCAGGTGGGCAGTGGCTTGAGGCTCTCCCTCCCGCCAAGGCTGAAGTGCCAGTGCTGGTTTCCCGCTACAGGGAGGGAGCCCCAAGCCTCACGGACTGGATCTGGTTCACAGGGGAAGCAAGGGGCTCTGCGTGCAGCTATTCCCCTTCCCCACGGCTGGGAGAATGGCAGCATAGGGAAGCACAGCTTGGAGACTTTCCCTGCTGCTTCCATTGGCCGGATTCATAGCCAATGGGAATAGCAGGAGGTAGTGCCTCGGACACTGTGCCTGGGCACGTGAAGCCATTTAAGCACCCCCCCCCCATCCCTCTCATGCGCAGACCCCACTCCTACTCCCTGCTTCCTGGCCAGACACCCTCAACCCACTCCTGCAGGCTCCTGGGCAAAGGGGGGTGGGCAGTTGCTCTGCATGCCTGGAAGAGGCAGAGCCAAGGGCAGTCGGTCCTTAGTGCCACCCAGACCATGGTGCTGGGCCCCCCAGCCCTCAAAGCCATGCAAAGTAGCACTCCTGTTCCTGCAGCAATTCAAAGGAGCTCAGGCCCCTTTGAATGGCCCAGCCCCAGAGCAATTTTGTCCCTTCCTGCCCAGATCTGCACCACCACCCCCTCCTGCACCCATTTTGTCATCATGGGTGGTTGGCTGGTGGTCCGCGGAAAGGTCTGCATTGAGCAGGGTGGGCAGTGGGCCAAAAAGTTTGAGAAACACTGACTTAAAAGAAAATGGGGAACATTGCACACAACTCTGCCAGGGTCTGTGTGTTGTAGAGCTGCCATGAGTTGATTTGTAGAGCAGATATCCAGAGGCTGGTGTTACTGTACAGTGGACACAGTGAGCTGCCTCTCAGATGACTTTGCTGCCTGCAAATGGGCAAATGCTTTGGCAGATTGGCTGCCTGTATTTGATCAGCGGAGCACATCCCAAGATGGAAGCAGGTTTTAGCTTCTGCATCTATGTGGTGCACAGACTTTGCATGCTTGATCCTGGGAAAGCAGTCTGCTAAGGTGGAGTATCCCCCAGCCCCCATCCACCCTAAGCCTTAAGATGGGACAGGGTGCGCCTGTGGCCTTGTCGTAGTGTCTGTGGTCAAGTTTGTTGAGCCCCTGGGTAAATCCATCTGTCCCAAATGCAGGAACATGAGGATTCCACCATATGATAGGGGCGGGGATAAGCAATAAATCAAGCAGTTCCTTACATCCTTCTCCCCCTCCCCCCACCCCGACTCGTGTGGGCTGGAGAGAGTTCCAATATCTGACTCCCAAATGGCAGTGCTAGTGAGGGCTAGATGGATGGACGTTTCAGTCTTGCTGCGTCACTTCGGAAGACACGGGTGTAAAATCTGGACCGGGTCATGAGATTGGTTCCCTGCTGGAAACTATAGGAAACGCATCATGAGAGCCACAGTATAGCTCGGGCTTAGTTGGCAAGGCTTGCTTGGGAAGGCCCCCAGCCTAGGTTAACTGAGGGTAGAGTGAGATGGTCCACATAGCCCTGAGCAATAAAGCTTGGGACATATTTGGAGCCATGACCATCCAAAGTGGACTCCTAATGAGCCCCAAATTGATCTTCGTCACACAGGACTGGAACCGGGGTGCAGGTCCCTCTTAACATGGTAGTAATTGCTGTCAGCAGAACCAAGGTGTGCTGCTTTGGCTCTTCTGAAAGCCCAAGGTCCATTGGTAAAACTGCCCTGTAGCTCTGTATACTGCAAGCCACAGGGATTGTTGTCAGAGTCAAGCTAATCATGCTTGTGATCTCATGCGCGTCATTTGTCTCTGAAGTTTTGTGTCACAGTTAATTTCCAATCTCGCGTGCTTGGTGTGATTCACCAGTAACAACATTCCATAATGGTCTGTTCTCTCCAGCATGTTCCACTAATCTCTCCCCTTCAGGGAGGCATTTCCTCCCCTACCCACATTTCCTTTGCCTGAGCATCTGCCCCATCCCCCTGTTGGCTGCTGTCACCTACTCCTGTAGTCCTGTTTGACGCTGTCCCTGTCTTCTCTCCCAGAGTCTGAAGGAAGGCCTGACCGTGCAAGAACGCTTGAAACTCTTTGAATCCAGGGACTTGAAGAAAGACTAGTTCTCCCCTTCAGCTTGAACACACGCACCTCCCAGCTTGCGATCGCACAGCCTGAGCACCGCCTGTTCCTAGTTCCTTATGATCCTCGCTGTTCGTCTCCATGCTCCCAGACTAAGTGTGACTGGCGGGGCTTCCTGCCCCTGCCACCTTGACTCCACAGCTCCTTTGTCCGCATCGTGAGATGCTTCAGCGACTCTGCGAGGGAGAGGAAGGATGGAGTTCTACCCTCTCTGGCTCCTTCTTTCACTGTAAACCGTTACACTAAGTGTCAGTATTAAGGCTCAGCTGCCTATTGATAAGCTAGCTCTGTCATACCAACTGCTTTGGTTTAAAAACGGCCTAGCTGGTGCAGGCCAGACCTAGCTCTGCTGTTGTCGAGTGGCCTGGTGCTAAGTCATACACCATGAGCCAGTCCTCTGAGCGTGAATTCCTTGCTCCTGCAGGGAAGAGCTTGTGGTCAAAACATCAGGAAAGGCAAGTCAGTTTGTGTTGTAAAGCAGCCCCATCCATCAGGCACGTGCTTGGGTCACCGCACCAACAACCCGACAGCTGCCAGAGAAAAATGAGGGGAGTCTGCTGTGAGGGTGGCTAGGGTTCTTGCTTTCAGTCTGTTACAGCCAGAGGAGATTTAAAAAATATCCACCCCTAAGACCCATATCTCCCCTCCCCCACACACACACCCTTTCCTCTCGTCCTATCATACCTGTGCCGTGAGTGATATGCTTCCATGGACTGGACTGCAGGGCCTGTCTGCTCAAATCCAGCCACACTCTGCTGCTTCCCATCAACCGCTGTGTGTGAGAATGCTTCCCTTTCCCCAGTCTGAGGACAGATACTGAGTGGAAGACAGAGCCCACGCTGGCTGGGAATATACAGTTCAAAGGCTGCTCCCTTTTCATCAGCTCCCTGAATGCAGCTGATCTGACCAGCCCACAACTCCAAGGTCCATACTCTTATCTATGGCTACATTTTACTTTTAGCTCCTCTCCACACTAAGAGCTTCCGAACTCCTCTGCTCTCCAGACCATCCATATTGCTGCTACCCGGGACATCTTCCTGCCTGCTCCTACCTCCAGAATGAGGATCACATTTAAAAGCTGGTTTAGCAGCACTGCCAGCACGAAGCCAGTGGTGTGAAGAAAAAAGTGAGGAGGAGGGGAGGGATTGAGGGAGCCCAGCAGTGGTGGTGCAGCATTGTACTAGTGTGGCAGGGCCGAGGGGAGGTGGAATCTCTCAGCTCTCCAGTGGCCATGCTGGCAACAGCATCCATGTAATCTCTTCTCTATGCAGCGCCTTGGTTCTGTGCCCTGCGTGACTAATTGACAAGACAACTCCTGCCTCAAATCTGAAACTAAGGCCTGTTCCAACACAAGTGGTTTCTATCCTAGCATGGCTACATAGCGTGGACAGGCCTAAATCACATTGGACAATGCCCTTGACTCTTTAGGGAGCTAGGCTACTGCCTCTCTCCAATCATGTCTACTCTCAGTTCCTCGCTAGCTGTATTTGGTTGGCCAGGTTGGTTAAGGGAAAAAACTCCTTGAGAGCCTTGCGCAGCACTTCGCTGAAAGCCTCTGCCCCAGGAATGCTCTGTGTAGTCTGGAAAGCTTTGTTTACAAAGGGCCATTTGGAGCTCTCTTGTGCAGCTCAGCAGCCATGCCTGACCCTGGCAGCATGCAAGGCCAATGGGTGAGTTTCCAGCCAGCTTTGATAGTGATTGGACTATCCAAAAACCACACCTCACTTTTCTTTGTGACTCTGGAACCATTGGCTAAAATGGGTTTGAAACTCATTTCCAGTCTTTCCCATCAGCCACTCATGTTGCCGTTGGTAGGTCTCTTGGCCGTCAGTAGGCCTTCAGCATTCTTGTTGAGAAGAGTTGCTTGCATATCCCACAGATACCTGGAAAGCACAGTGAATTCTCAGTGGTTGCCTGGGCACTGGTTAAATAAGTCCACTTCTCTGTCTCCCTCTGGCCTCTGGGCTTCTTGCTCCCAGTGAACTCGTTGTGGCAGCTGTGTTCACCTCTTTTGGTTATGAACAGTTACTTTAAGGGGGAGAAATGAAGGCTGCCCAGCTTGTTTCCATGTAGAGTTGCTGAGCTCATTATCCCAGCGCTGGCCTCAGAATCCATCCAGGGCTGCACTGCTCACATTACTCTAGTGGTTCTCTTGGTGATGCTAATGGGTCCCTCCAACAGCCCTGACATGGGGCCTGCCTTCCAGTCAAGGAGGACTAGATATGACTCTCCCACAGTGGTTTTTAATCAGCCAGAGGGGACACTGTTTAGTCACAGGAGGCATGCCCTCCCTGGCCTCAAATTCTCACCCACCCTGCATGGCCTGAGCATGCAGCTCAGTTAGTCTGCACATTCTGTTCCTGAAAGATGATAAACTGCCCGATTCAGCTCACACTTATCCCTGGGGCTCCGTCAGCTTCAGGGTTTCTCATTCTCATCCTTGTAAGATCAAAGCCAGGCCCAGGTTGCACATGATGCCACGCTCTGATGGAGGTGGAGGAAGGTTTCCCATAGGAGAATGTAGCTCCCACCGGTCTAAAGCAGCCAGGGGCAGTATAGCCTTTGGGCCGAACTCAAGCCCCATAGGCTGTGAGGAGATGTGCCTTGCAGTCTAGTGGGGATGTTGGTGCTGTGATTGTATCTGACTGTAGAGGTGGGTTTGCTTACTGGTGTGATCCATATATCATGTATGTACCTTCACATACTGAAGAGGTCACCTAGGAGAGCCAACTTGCTCTATTTCTGACCTTTCCTGGTCCTCTCGAACAACCACCAAAAGAAAACATCCCTTTGTTCTTATCGCAGCCTGGTTGGGAGTGGAGGGTGTAGGCTCCCAACCCTGAGTTCTCCCCTTAGATGGTAGAAACTGGGGAACACAGGCACAGATAGCGTGAAGTCCTTCAGTGCTGGGATTTCTCCTCCTTCACTTCACGTGAATCGACTGAAACGAGACATTTCCAAGGGGAACACAAGCTGGGCTGTGTCCTCCTAGAGCCCCATGAGGGCTTCTTACAGTTGAGCCATCTGAATAAGGTGTGCTCTCTTTTCCTGTTGGAAAAGCCATTGCCCCCCACGCACACCCACCCCTCTGGGACCTGAGCTGCTTTGATACCCAATGAACAAATTATGGCTGCTGTGTTCACTTCTTTTGGTTACGATGGGTTACTGTGGGGGCGAGAAATGAAGGTTGCACAGCTTTTCTCCATGTAGAATTGCATGCCGGTGGGATGAAGGTGACAGGATGGTGCTAGACATAGCCATGGCCTGGTGCTCTTTGTGGTACAGCTTTATTGCACTGAGCCTCAAGGGGATCCTGATAGAGATGGTGCCAGGGGGTTGGAGCCATCTTTTTCTATGCTGTTCACTTCCCTACTCCAGCCACTTTTCTCTTGAGGGTCCAGCCTTTTTGCTTGGAACAAGTACTCTCCATTTTTTTTTACCTCTGCATCTGTCAAGATCCTGATTTCATGCTAGAAAAGGATCATTAGAGGAGGAAGTGTCCAGTGTCACCACACAGCTGTAGATACCATTAGGTTGCTGCTACAATGGCATGATGTGGTGCAGAGCTGGCTTGGAGGAAGGGTTGCAGCATGCTGATGGACAGCTTGGTAGTGTTTTGAACCATGCATATTGACCTGGGTGTTCTAGTAGAGGTGGAGAAGGAACACTAGTTGAAATGAGGGCTATTTTTTCCATCTTTTAATCCAGCCAGTGTACATGGGTGAGGACATGAGGAAAGGCACTGTGGTATGTTTGCGAAGTGGGAGCACTTAGTATAAAAGGAGAGCAGGGAGAGAAGCATGTAAAGCAGTGGAATAGCAAGCCATATGAGGTGGTCTTGAAATGGCAGATCCAGTGGTTACTCTGAACTGTTTTCTGTTTGTGCTCTGATCCCATAATTATCCTATAAAGATGCTACCTGGGGCAGTGAGAGGGAGGTGGTTCAGGTTTGTCTTCTGCTATACCGACTCCCAAAGACTGGGGCTAAGGACACCGCTTAGACAGAGAATCTTAGATTTGATGCATTTCTTAGACCATTATCCTTTCTCATGTGTACATACCCCAAGCAAAAAACTAATTAGGGAAGCTTTGAGTAGCTTATGTCAGTTTCTTCCCTTGAGGAGTGCACAGTTCTGAGAAAATCCTGGGACCTGGATATGATGGATGAAACACTTACAGTCATAGGCTTAAGCAAGATGTTTGTTCAGGTTAGCTGGGATTCTTTTTCTTTAAGGCTCATATCTATTTCCTACCTTACTGCAAACACCAATCATCCTGTGACCTCCATCTTATTGAATCAGTGGATCTGCTTGAAAGGATTTGCTTCCAGGTGTGCCAGAAATAAAGGATAAGCAGAATCTGAACTCGTGGGAGTGGATCTGTCAGTAAAGGATTGGTACTGGGGCATCTTCAGATAATGCCTCTTGGTCCCCCCTTTCTGGACCTTCATACTACCCTTAAAAGCTAACTAGACATTCAGTTTTACAGGATGAACTAGAGCCAGAGGTACCAGCTGTAGCCAAAACAAAATTCCAGTGTTACAGGTTGCTCTGGAGAGGACATACACACCTTGTATAGAGGGGTGATGATTAGAACCACCCTTTGGTAAATATTTGTAAAGCTTCTATGAATTTCTAACAGGCCAAAGAGGTATTGTTTTGCTGAACTTGCTCTCAAATTATTTAACACCTAAACAAATGGTCTTGTACAAATGTGGGGGGCGTATAGTCTCTCTCTCTCTCTCTCTCTCACCAAGAGTGGGTGAGTTCTGAAACGGCTATCTCCAGAGAAGGATGAAGGCTTTGTTTTTATTGTTTCTCTGCTGTGTGGGGGGTATGCTCTTTAAAGTCAGGTGTTCGAGGGGGCATCAGAGCAGCCTGCTCTGTGCAGTTTTTCCATCCATTCAGACTGCAGTACTCTCAGCTGGAATGATTCAAATACATCCACATTGCAATAACTGAGATTTCCAGAGGTCATGAACAAAAACCGTGGTGCAAGCATGCCTTTCTGCTCTGATGTGCTAGCATAGGCCTCATTGCAGTTTCTTCCCTTCCTATAGTTTTGATGGGCACCTACTTGAACTGTCAGGGGCCCTCCTCCAAGCATTAGGCAGCATGTTCACCTCCACTCAACCCCCCAAGTAAGCACAGATCTACCTTCAAATGCACAGATTAAAAAATCGCAGAAGTCTTAGCTGAGTACAAGGTTCTGTGTTTCACTTCAGTTTTGCCTTCTGCTGCAGGTTTCATCTTTCTCCATGAGGCTAAAAATCAGTCCAGTCTGACACACACTGATGAGGGTGAGGGACATAGTAAGAGAAACCTCCCCCACAACTCTTTGCCCAAGACTGATTCAATCTGCATCTTCCAATATGTGAAAGACACAAAGCAGAGTATTTTGCAAGTCACTTTTCCCCTGGTTATGTTCCAGGTATCCTCCATACATGACAGAGCAAATTGGCATGGTAGCTGTCATGCTTGCAGTGCTCCTAAAGGACACAATATATAGTGTGTGGAAAAATATATATTTGCAAGCAACTGCATTTTACACAGTCCTACACTATGAAAAGTACCAGAATGTGAGGTCTAGTAAAACCAAGTTCTAAAGAGCTATAGAAATGTATGCGCCTTCTAACTGTTTCCAAAGTTTTGTCTTTTGTGGAGAAATTTTCTGGCATTTTTTTTCTTCTGGAAACAATTAGATTGTCATTTTTAACTGTGATTTTTCCCTCCCCCCCATCCATCTAAGAGAGGGAGCAATTTTTTCCCATTTGCTTCAAAAGCAGAATTTGTGCTGATGTGCAAAACACAACAAGGCTATTTTTCTGTAACAAGTTGAATGGAGTGCATTTAAGCAGTCCTAAGCATTGTAAAATGTCACTTTTGTAATGATTATATACTTGATTGGAATTCCACTAGACCTTTGCATTTTTGTGATTCATATACAGTACTTAGTTTGTTGTGAACACTTAAGCACATGCACGCTCAGTGTAGCTTGCCTTTACTTTGTAATTTTTTCCATTTTTTAAAAAAAGCTTTGTTATTCTCTTTAAAATAATTTAAAACCTGTATAGTATTCAAAGCACGCAATGTAAATATTTATTACTCAGAAGTTAGCGGAGGGTTTTTGTGTGTGTGACTAAGTTGTTTTTGTTTTTTAAAATCTTGTTCTAATTCAGATGTCCCTTTTGGGGTTGGAAGAGATTTGAGTGTAAAATGTTGAACCTATCCTGTGTCCTCTGATTAGAATGTTTTTTGATGACTGTTATAAATATATTTTAAAATTCTGACCTGTACCTTTAGAGCTTTGAAGATACTTGTCCAAAGAATGTGTCCAGTCTGTTTGAGAACTGTAACTCTAAAGCGCTATAAATTGTTTTTTCCATTGAGAAGTCAGTAATCTTGTATTTGATAGTGGCATTAACACCCTGTGAATGTGCAAAATTGCTATCTATATATAAAGTAGTAACTACTGTGTGACTAGAGCACACACAGATATCCTTGCACGGTAACTTAGGACTGTTGCAGTGAGTGAACTAAGGTTCCAGGATCTTAGGGCCTAGTGTATAATTGTGTAACTCACTTATGCATCAGCATTGAAGCTACTCTGTAAGGCTACATGAAATTTACAAGGGAACTATCTCCTAGCTGTGTAGTTACATATTGTACAACAGCATGGAAGTTTACTGTAACTTACAATGATATGTAAGTAACTGTTTAAAATATAACTTTCAATACATTGTAGTTACTACTGAGTTGCACTTATGTGATCCCTACCACTGTAATACAGAGCATTTCTTAGAAGTGACTGCAGAAATATTTTTGCATATCTGGGGAAGGACACTGAATAGTAATGGGGGCTGAAAACAAAGCTGCCAAGTTCTAGTGGTTTAACCTGCCTCAGCCTGCACTTTGAGACTACTAGAGAACAAGGGGGCAGGAGGCATTGGCAGAAACCTGATTAGCCTTTAAGTTGGTACCAACACTACCCACTGATGTATTAATTTAGTGCAATTATTTCCTCACCCTTCCTGTCTACCCTGCACCAGGATAGTGTGCTGAATGGGGTATCTACACTGACTCCTTGTTCTAACAGAGAGCAGTGTGTTGTAAAATAGTAAAGACTTTGATTTGTAGCAAATAGATGAGGCTTCTTAGTCTTTGATCCGTAGTCATTCTTTTGCGATCTGGTGTTTCAGGCTGACCTGAGATTTTAAATGGGGGGAAGGAAGTATGTGTGTGGGCAGTAACTCTGAAGTGGCAATAGATACCCAACCTAATCAGATAGCTTTGTTCTGTCTTGTGCATACCTTCAATCAGCAGTCCTGATCAAGGGAGATCAGTTCCTGCGTGAAAGTTCCTGAGTGAAATGTATGTCCCCTTCACTACCAGCTTTGGGGCAAGAATGTCAGTCCCTGGTGGAGACAAACAGAAATCATGATTTGTTGTAATTTATGGTGAACATCCACCAGTCAATCACATCTCCAATTCCTGTGATGATGCAGAACAGAAAGTCACCTATCCAACCTGCAACCCAGCTGTGTGGTGTTAAAAGCAGCAGATCAAACCTCAGAGTGTGTAACTTACTTCCTGGGTTGCTATTGTAGTGGTGAAAGACTTGTGGAACAGCTTCTTAGCACAAAACAGGGGTAGTGACCATGGAGAAGTGGCAGCTGAGATCTAAAAACCGAAACCATCAGGCTGTAGGCCTGAACAGTATGCCTAAGGGGAGGATTCCACAAGAATCACCCAGCAACAGTGCTGTGTCAGACCTGATCCATTTCTTCTTGCAAAGGTGAATGCACATGTATTTCAGGCCCCTGCAATACTGAGTATGAGTGGAATCATCTTTTCTCTCTTCCCCTTATTTCAGTGCTTTTTTAAAAAAAGTCACTGTTCTTGATTAACTGTTCACTGTAATAGAAGCATCACTTTTGTCACATTATTTATTCCTTACAATTCCTGTGAGACATGCTAGGTTCCCATGGATGTAGCTGACCATTATTATGTTGTAAATATAATTACCTAACTTTACATAAACTATATCATAATAAACTATTTTTGCACCACCCTTTACATGCTGTGTAGTGAGGTGCTTGTTTAAACAAGGCGGAAAGGAAATGCAGGCTTTCGAGTTAGCCACTTACTGTGCTCCTACTGCATTTTCATTGACACATTACTGTTCAAAGCACTGTGATGCTAATAGTCCTGACTGTTGCAGTGGATGCCCTCCCTGCTCTCAGCAGGCT